AAAAAAAAAAAAAAAGATGGGAGTGGATTAAAGGGATGGAAGGGGAATACAAGAAAAGATGAAGCAAGGTATATCACATGCAGGTACAAATTCCCTATGATTAATGTTATCATTATGTATATCTATAATGTACCACTAAAATAAAAACTAAAATTGTTTCACCCTAGAAAAGATACAGTGAGAGGCAGAGGCAGAAGCACAAACAGGAAGGAACCATGGCCTGAGATTTAGCTCAGTGGTGCCACAGCCTGCCTCGAAATCACAAGGTCCACACTTTGATCCCAGGTTGAAAAAAAAAGGAAAGAGATGAAAGACAAAAATTCAAAGGTAAGCAAGTGAGTATCATGTAGAGACAGAGGCAGAGAAAAAGTGCCTAGAGTCCCTGAGAGGGAGGCACACACTGCAAGACACAGGGACAAGGAGACCTGTTTGGGTGCAAGTTGCCACTTCCCTTCAGTGTATCTGAGAGACCCATAGGAGCCCTGCCCACCCAGCACACCCACCCCATCTTGTCATCTTGTCCTGCTGCTAATGACCAGTTTTGCCTGTATTGGCCTCACCTCTCACCACAGAGGACAGGGCTCCACGTCCTTGTTGGCCTGAGTTTAAACTTCTTATGGAACTATGTCTAGCCGTCACCCTCTCCACAACTGTCTCTTGTAGCTGTCTCTTACCCAGTCACTGTGGTAGGATAACACCAGAAACCCTGAAGTAATGTTGTTCTGGAGTCACTGACTCTTAAACAATTAACCCTTTGCCAAAATGCCTCCTGACTCAATCCTATCAAATATGTCAGGTGTATGCTGGTTTTCTTCTCCAACTCTAGCCTGCTGCATGGAGGGAGTCACTTTTGGAGTACAACCCCATGCTGTTTTTGCAGCGTACAATACCCATGGGCTTTACTTCCAGAGCTAGTGCTGCTGGCCTAGTCAGTTGTTTCTCCTGTAGATGCTGACCCTCCATGCTCACCTTTTACCTTCCCGAGCATTCAGCTTGTCTATGACCAAGTTAGTAGTACATAGGTCAGCACCTTTGCTTCCCCATATTAAGGGAAAACAAAACATAGAACAGGCTTGGAGTTGGTTGGCAGCAGGGCCCAAGACACCAAATCCATGGGCTGCGAGACTATACTATCTTAAAGCAAGCTATGACTATGTATGCCATCTTGAGATGAGAGTCTGTAAAATCTTTTCTTTCATTGATTTTTAAGTTGAATTGTTTGTTTCAATTGCTATTGACTTTGAAGAGTTCTTTATATACTCCTAATTCAAGTACTTTTTCAAATATATAATCTTCAGATGCTCTGGTCAAACCTCTAGCTTGTCTTTCTTTTTTTTTTAATAGTGTGTTTTAAAGAGCTAAAGCTTTTTTTGGATGAAATTCAACTTATCATTATTTCTGTGTCTTAGGCTTTTAGTATCAAATCTGAACATCTTTGCCCAATCCAAGACTACAGATTTCATCCTGTCTTTTCGTCTACTAAGTTTATAGTTTGAGGTTTCCTCTAGGCCTTTTGAGAGACAATTTTTGTCCAAAGTGGCAAATGTGGATTGAACTTTCTCCTTTTGCATATGGTCTCCAACTTTACTCCATTGATGCAAGAGGAGGGGACAGAGAAGCACAAACTTTTAGAGGTGGAACCTGCACTTTTCTGACCTTGGAGTGGTGGCATCACAGACCTTCCTGATCTCAGGACCTGGCTCCTGTTCTGCTGGGTCATCTGACACTGAGAATGGGTCTTCATTCCAGCCTGAGACTTCCTGGTGGACAGGCATGAAGTACTTTACACAGAGTCCTCACACTTTGAAGGAGGTGTTATCATCCTCCCGAGCATGTGTGTACTGATTTACTTTCACATGTGAAGGTGTGTTTGCATTTGAGTAGTGGAGCTAGTAGGGATCTCCACAACTCTTGGTGAGCCTGCTTGCACTGGCTGCACTTTTGCTGGTGTATGTGTGCATCTCCCAGCCAGTCTCTGTAAGGTCTGCAGAAGTCCAGTGTCCACCTCTCCA